TCCCATTAACCCTTCTTGGCTGTCTTCTTGGAGGATCTCAGCCAGCACAGCAGTTGGATGGCACAAATCAGCTGCCACACAAGGAGGTCCTCCTTTCCAAGGATAGTCGTGTCTACACAAGGTATTTCTGCCCATTCCGAAACCATTACAACCAGAGTACCTTTCATTTTGGATAAATTAAACATTTTTTCCACTACTGAAATTATCCCTCATCAAGTTAAAATCAGTGGGACTCAATATGTACTTTGGAAAAAGGAGTTGCGAATAACTACTTATACTGTATTATTAATAAAATATACTACAGTATAATTAGTAGAATAAAGAAAATTCAGACCTTATCAGTTGTTTTCAAGCTCTGAAATGCTTTTAACACAAACAAGCTATGAAAATCTGTGAGCTATCAACAGAACTCTTAAACAGGCAGAATATTGTAAAAAAATGCAGGGAGGGAGAATAGTAGGAGTCTTAAGCTGGAGGGGCCCACAGACAAAACAAAAAAAAAATGATTCTGCCAGCTCACAGTGGCACCTAGATCTGCTTGAAGACTGCTAAAAAAACTCCAGGTAAAATGATTCACTTTACTCTTATTAACAAAGACCCTCTGAGTGGGGACTTACAATCATCCATATTTTATGCTGCTTGAGCCGAATATGTTTATAAGATTACTGCTGTATTCTCTCATCTCCTGCTTAAGTTTGCATTTCTGAAAGAATATAGCACTAGGATCCCTTTTTCAAACTACAAATGATTCAAAACTTAGAGATGCATGAAACCTTTAAGGTTGCCATTGAGATCTTTACAGCCTTAAGACCTCTTCTCACCAACAGCATATGATATAGTCCATGTGCATTTGAACTTCTTTAAGGATTTTAAGAGCACAATCCTTTAATTCTACACCCAAATTCCTAGCATGTTCAAGATGCTACAATCCAGTTAACGCTTACCTGAGATACTGCTGTCTTGAAACTACCTTGTTTCTTAGCTTCTACTGATGTGTGTAGAGAACGGGCCTTGGGGGATTAATATTCTTGCGCTTCTTGCCAATATCCCTCCCCTTCCCAACACAGACTGCAGTGACCCCACTTTCTTTTGAAGGATAGGCTGCACATCCAAGGACTACAAGACGGAGATCTCTCCTTTTCCCACTCTTCACTTTTTCCTTCACTTCACTGGAATCTTTTAGTTAATCTATCAGAAGCTATGTGTGCTTTTAACCTCCTGATACTACAGACAACAGGTAACATAGGTCCAGCAAGGATGACAAACTGCATGGCATCAGCTAGTAACAAAGCACATATGCTAGCCAAAATCCAATCTTTGGCATAGGGGACCGTGCTGTACCCTCCTCCTAACATTTTAATTTTCCCAGTCAAGAAAGGAAAATTGCTCTTGTCTAGTAGAAGTGATTTTTCTTCAAAGCAAGGTGCAGACTCCTTTGTGTTTGGAGATATTTGGGGGGGGGTTTCCTTTGAAAACATGAATGAATGACTGGATAAAATACATTTTGGAAAAAAGATGGGTCCGTGAGGAAAAGCGAGCTCCTAAACCCCTCCAAGTTTGTCTATTTGTGATGTCAACAATGAACTTATGGACACAGATTAAATCTGACAGCTAGATTCTTGTGCCCTGATAGCTTCTTTGTACTTTTCAAATAAAATAAATGCAACACATATGCAGTTTCAAGTGCTTTATTAACCTGCTTTCATAAAATACTGTAGTGTAAATTTTTATGCAAGACAAACATTTTGGCAGGTGATGAAAACATGCCCATTTCCTTGCTGCAGAAACAGACATCAATCTGCATTATCATTTCATTATTAAGTACTGGAAGAAAAACCCAAGAACATGGTCACCTCAACATTTGATACTGGTGCTGAAGAATAAAAAATTTACAGCAGTTTTCTTCAAAGTTGCATTCAATTTCAGAAATGCAATACACTATGCAGGAGACAAAACAGACTGCGTTCAAACAAGGAGAATAAAGTGAGTATTAACAAAATGACAGAATAAGCACTCTGAGCTCATCTATTGTGCATGGTTTATACTTAGTACTGCTTTTTGTTGTTGTTAAAGATGAAAATGGGATTAAATGGCAGGGCTAGAATTTATCTGGTATACACACTAATGTGGTGCATTTCAGGTACTGTAGTTTGCCTTGTGGAGCATGTCTTAAAACTACCAACCATTCAATTTGGAAGGGAGTGCAAAAAACTAAAAGCAGTCAGAAATGAAAGCATTTTACAAGCATCAGAATAAGGGCCCGTCATATGGTTTTAAATGTATATTAAACCCCTTCATGTTCACGTAAGAGATTAAGAGGTCGAGAGATATATCGTCTGCGAGGGTGAGGATACTGAAGATTGGCAGTGTCAGCATCGCAAGAGTGCTCTATCAGAGGAGGAGGAGGTAGGATCTGGGCATAACTGGACCATCTTAATCCAGCCCGAGGGGAATCCAGAGGGGGAAAGAAATACCTGAAAACAATTAAGACAGGAACAGCAGAAAAGAAAAGGAAAAAAACAACAAAAAACACAAAAACAGGAGAAAGAGAATAGCAGTAAATATAAGGAGAACCAAAGTGGAGAGACACATGCTAGGGGAAATAGACTTTAGTAAATCCATGCTAAAATTAAAAATAAAACAAAATATATTATAATGGTCAAAATCAAGTTCCCAGATTAAATTAAGACTGAATGTGAAACTCACAGAACTGTTTTGGCAGGAATACAATGCTAGGTGATATTGGAAAATTTGTCTTAAATGCATTTAAAAAAAAATTAAATTACCTGTAAATTAAATGAGTTATCAACATTTACTCACTCACCGCATAAGCTTTTCAGACTGTTACCACAGCTTTGAGTTAACAATGAGGCACACATTAATTATGCAGATACACTTGCTGTATTTGTATCCAACCTAGATTAATTTATATACTAGAAGTAAAAATAGTTTACTTTTACAATGTTTAGATTTCCACAATATACAAAATTTGACTCCTTTTCCAGTGAAATATAGTCTATATGCATGCGTGTATACACATACACATCTGTTATTTTTCCATAAGTGTGTGTGTGTGTGTGTATGTAAGTGTGTGTGTGTAAGTATATATACAAGTTTTGTATACACACACAGAGAGAACAATATCAGATAAAACTGAAAACCTCAGGTAAATTAAAGACTGAAAGGGCTATTCAATATCACTTTATACGACTTACCCGTAATATTAAATACACTATTTTGTGATATTTATAGAACAGAATGGTAAAGTTAGTAAAATTTTGAGACAGGACATTTAGAGCTATATTTACATGCTACTATGTAGAACATGTCCTGATGAATGTTTGCAATAGGACATGGTTTGTTTATTCCAGAATAACTCCATCACACAGAAGTCATGTGTCTGCACTATGCAACACACAACGCACAGGGGAAGGCAAAGGACAGTAATTCCCAGAGCAACCTGTCAATACCCCATGGCAAACATCCATTTGGATATGGTTCTCAACCACAAAAATGTGATCAGGGGAAGTCTAATTATTCCATTATTCCATGGAATCATGCCACAGGAACATGCAACTATGAAGTAGATCATTCTCACCAAGACGACTCCAAGTACAGCATTAATGTCAGTTAGGGGCTTTATTTTTTCACTCTAAAAGCAGCATTTAATTGTGAAGCAATACCAATAACTAATCTAAGATACTATACAGTTGAAGTTACAGCGCTGCACACATTTAAAACTTGTTATGTTCATGTGTTACAATTTCATCAAGAAAACTCTAATAGTTTGGAATCAGAGCACTTTGAAATCCAGAACAAAATACTGTAAAGAAGTAAAATGAAAACCCATTTAATTTGAATACCTTCACATTATAGTTTCCTCTCCTAAAACTTCAGAATGCAAAGATAATAATCCCTTCTAACTCTAGGGAACTTCCTCCTCTCTCGCACAGTGTATTTTTAACATGAGGTATGGGAATGCTTCCACAAGAGGGCTTTTCCTCCTACTTTTTTTCATAGGATGGAACAAGGTCATACTATGCTGGCTAGCAGAGTACGAATACAGCATTTTTAAAGAGAGCCTTTTGATTTGCTTTTAGTAGTAGGTAGACTGCTGGTGTCTTGGGAAGTGGTCAGTCGGCGCTGGGGAGGGGGAAAAGGAGTTCGCTTTCCATTCCTGTGTGCATGCAACAAGCAGCAAAACAGCAAAGTTACTCCAGTTAGCTTGGTATCAGCTGTGCTTTCTGTTAAAAAGGACATAATACAAATGGAGAAGGGAGAATGCATCACAATTTTAGACACACATGGTTATAAGCACAATAAGAATACTGTACAGCAGTATTTGTAGATTTATTAAGTTTTAATATTTTCAATCATTTCTCAAACAATTTCTATATTTTTCCTGTTAAATATAAAACACTTATGATTTTGATCTTTAAAAATGTTAGTAGTGTTACTCAAGAAAATTAAGAAATTACCAAAATGTTGAGTTCTAACAACAGTAAAAGCAAATACTGTAACAGGTCAGCTTATTTTTAAAGCCAGCACTTACATTTCTATTACACAGATTCAGCAGCATGTTAATCACACTACAGTATGTCTTTTTCTGACTCACTTTCAAATTCGTGTTAGATAACCAAAGCTATTTACTTTTTTTTTGTTTTCACAACAGGTGGGTATTTGTTCCATTGTTGTGCACAAAAGTTGTGCCATAAAATTCATCACTTTATATGAAAAAATTACCTCACAATCATAACCAGGAGAAAGTAACACAAGAGCCCTAGTTCACTACACAGGCATAAAAACCTCTCATCATTCAGTTAAAGCACAGTTTAGTGAGCACTGAGTAGAAGTGCTAGATGGGCCTCACAGCAATTCTTAAACCTTCACATTTTTATTATATTCTGAGGAAAATCAGGCAGCAGGTTATCATGCTAACGTAAAAGAAGGTAACCAACTATCTCCACTAGCAGTGCATCAGAGTTCTACACTGCACCTAATCGTAGCTGTTGGTCATATTCTATCTGTTCCTTTCTTCCTCTGGTTTGCCCAAGAGCTACCACTGTTGTACAATTCACAAAAAGGGAGCCCACACCTAGAGAAACCAATGAAAGACACCCACCCACGACAACAGGAGCTGGCACCACAGGTCAACAGCCCATGTTCCTCATGTTCCATGAGGAACAGCCCATGTTCCTCATGGAGAAGCTGCTTTCTATGTCCAGAACCCATGGAGACAGAAACAGTACGGGAGAATATCAAGAAGCAGCACAAAATAAGAAAAAAACAGGTGCATGATAGTCCCAAAATAAGAGTATATTTCTTTGAATAAATGCAGCAGTATTGTCCAAGTGTTTAAAAGCTGCCTCATCACTCATTTATATCCTTCTCATAAGCACAATGTGTCATCATGAGCATGACTGCTTCAATGGAAAAAAACTATTGTTGAAAAAATGTGAAAAATATATCTACAGCCAATGTTCCAAGTTTTGTCCATCAAATGTCACCACTGTGACTATATCCAAGTGCCAGAGTCAGTCGTATAAATAAAGAGTTCATTGGCCAAGAATGGCTCCTTTCAGAATCAAGTTTGTGAGGGCAGGCCCAAAACAGACTTATGTGTTGAAACCTATTTGAACAAACTGGTTGCCAAGAGCTACTGAAAAACAGGATTGGAGAAAGGTCCTGTTCCCAAGAAGTCTCAGGAAGTAGTACAGGATGGTAGCAGGAAGTCAAAGAGACCTTGGTTGAGAGACAGTAGGATAATTAGTGGTCAAAGTATATAAGGTAACAAGAGGAAGATGCTGTGAGTAGGAATGGAACAAGAGTAGATGACACAAATTAAAATAATCAAAGGTCCCACCATTTAAGTATGTGAACAGCAATTGGTCAAATGTCTGCTTTTACCTTATACATCTCAGAACAATGTTGATAAGATTAGAACTGAATCTGTAAGCTACTGATGTGATAACGGCTTTCAACTAATGATTACGAATATAAAAACCTTATAGCACAATTCAGATTTTAGTGAAATAGACTTAATGTTACAAAACAAAAAGTTTTAAAATTGCAGAATTTATAAACAAAGTATCTTACCTGCCAGCAGATGTTCCATTGATTGAATTCTGGAGGCTTGCATTGGGTGTGCCTAAAGGAGCATTAAAAACTCCCTGTTGAGAGGAACTAGTATTGACTGGACTCCCATTACCTTTCAGAATTCCCGTGCACTTCCAGTTGTCCATGTAGTTAGCTAGGGGAAAATGCCACAAATCCCAATTGCACTTTTATTTTATGTTTATGCAACTACCTTTCAAATAATACAATTATATACTCCTCCTAAGACATTATCTATCTATCTATCTATCTATCTATCTATCTATCTATCTATCTATCTATCTATCTATCTATCTATCTATCTATCTATCTATCTATCTATCTATCTATCTATCNTCTATCTATCTATCTATCTATCTATCTATCTATCTATCTATCTGTCTATCTGTCTATCTATCTATCTATCTATCTAAATCTTATTCCAGTCTATCCAATAAACATTGCAGCAGTATTACAATATAGATAAATATTTCTATACAGCTCAGAGACACTTTGCCCTATAGACTCAGGGAGAAAGACAAGCCACTACAAGTTGCTCTCTCACTGATCTAATTAACAATAACAGTTCTTAAAACAATAGTTCATCCTTTGATCTAATTAGCAACTTATTTTTGTGATATAATGTAACTGTTGCTATAACACAATCAAAATGTGCACACACACACACACATATAATGTTTACACTAAATGATTGACAAGTGTGAACTTATTAAATGTACATTTCAACGTAGTCAGAGGAGATCGGCCAGGGAGTAAAGGAAGAAGTACTGTTTGAAATAATTCACTGTGAGTGAGGCTGACACAGAAGAGTAGAGACTGGTATATGTATGAGAAGGACAATTAAGAATATACTATTGAGAGAGACTAGCCCTATTATAGCGTGAAATCATACAGGGCTTTAAGTGAAGTGGGGATGGCAGCATGGAAGTAAGTCCAGCTGCAAATAGCACAATCTCCCTTGGCAAGAACAAGATAGCTGTTGTTGTAACAAGAAGAAACTGCTATTTTCAAAAACTAGCCAAATAATCTGAGAAAAGTGGGATGTGGCTCAGGATAGCACTGATGGGGTCTGTAGCCTTTAAGAGCACACCAATCAAAATAACACAAGAATTGAAAAATCAGCCTGAATCAGAATTATCCCAATGACTGATTTTCTGACACAACAGAAATACATTCATTTACTGAAGTAACTCGATATGAGGCTGATTTCTGAATGGAGCTTCCTCTTAAAATGTTCACTTTGCAAACACAGAGTTTGTAACGTCAATGGCTCACATTATCTCACATTTATTTATGTTATAAAATTATCAAACTGATTTAACATCCAATGCTTAATTCAGGAGAATCAATTTTTTTCTACAACAAGCTTTCGTCTAAATGTTAGAAAAGTATTAACAAAAGAACTGCAATTAAGAGAATATGCACCATAATTCGAAGCAAATTAACCAGAATAAAGTCCCACAAGATTCAGAAGGACTTACTTCCTACTATATGCACTTAAGAATCCCCTAATCTTTTTTAAGAATGCAAAATGTAATCAAACAAAAAATGTGAAGAAGCACATACCTTTCCAAAGCCTCACACACCCATCATCTCCTGAAGATGCAAGTACAGTGCCTGTAATATTCCAACTTACACGCCAGACCTGGGAATTGTGATTATCAAACTGAGCCACTAACTGAACCTCAAATTTTGTCAGTCCTGATGAAGAGGTTAGTTCTTTTCTATTGAAAGAGTAAAATTCTACATTGCAGTTTAATTTGCTTAAAATGTATTCATTTTAGAAATTTGAGCTATCTTAAAATACTTCAAACAAAGAAGCCATTATGAATTACAACTACTAAAATACTAAATAGAATGGTACTTCATGTTTGAGTTTTATTTTCTGCTGCTACAACTTTAAGATACATCACTAAGCACTGAATAGGGAATAAAAGGCTAAATTCAACATATCGGTTTGCCCAAGATCCAATGGTTCAAAGGATAGCTATAAAAATGCTGTATTTGATTCTCCCCATATTTTACAACCGGTACACAATTATTTGTTGTACACTTTTAATCACATTTTGTATATTTTAACCACATAATATGTTTTATGAATTGGTTGTATATTTTTAAACTGCATTTTGTATATTTTAGCCATAAATATGTTTTATAAGGTGGTCACCTGACCATAATAAATTCATTCATTCATTCATTCAACATACTAAAACTATTTAAATCAGTAAGGCTTGTTAATCAACTAATATGAATGCTATTGATTTCAATGGTTCTACTGAGGACAGGACAACTATTGCATTTAAACCTAAGTCATTAGTTTCTTAACTAGGGGCACCATTTGTGTCTTGAGCCAAGTAATTCTTTTAAAAAAATAAACATCTGCTTCCACATTATGTAATAGCATTTGCTTCAAAACTTACCTCAGAGGTTTTAATGTGAAAATTCGTACATCTTTAGTAGCTACTGCCAATATATGGAAGGACCGTCCAAGGTTTGGAGCAAATGCAATATCATGCACAGGATCTGTGACTGTCATAAGAGTTTCTGCTTTTGCATACTTCCTGAAGATCAATAAAAAAGAACAGGCTATTAAGTTACTGATGTGTAAATATGCTTGTACCCCAGAAAGGGAAGCAACCATCATCATGATGAACATTATGGCTGAATTATCAGATGCAAATTAACGTTTTAAAGAGATGTTTTCCAGCCAAGAATATTTGTTCTAGAAAGCATGTAAGATCACTCTCACAGTTTATCCGTGGCACAGCATGAATTACAATGTGACTGTGACCCTTTAGATCTAGGTAAACATAGTAAGAAGTATAACAAAATACAGTATATGTTGAAATACTGTATTAGGAAAATATTTTAAGCTGGCTGAATAACGCAGTGGTTTAGGTAACTGGCTGTGGAGCCAGAGGTTGGGAGTTCAATTCCCCACTTGCCTCCTGGAAGAAGAGCCAACCTGTGTGGACTTGGGCAAGGATACTCCCCAGAATGGAATGGCAAATCACTTCTAAGTACTCTTTTCCTATAAATCCGGATTGATTTTATGGCATACAAGTAAAGGAAATCTTACCAGCTTAATTGTTATAAATGGGTTACAATAAACCAGGACTGATTTTATGGCATACAAGTAAAGGTACTCTTACCAGCTTAATTGTTATAAATATGTAGATACTCCCCAGAATGGAATGGCAAATCACTTCTAAGTACTCTTTTCCTATAAATCCGGATTGATTTTATGGCATACAAGTAAAGGAAATCTTACCAGCTTAATTGTTATAAATATGTAGCATACAAGTAAAGGTACTCTTACCAGCTTAATTGTTATAAATATGTAGAACAAGGGTGAATGAACTCAAGTTTTTGTTTCCAAGCTCCACAATGAGTTTGGATATTTATTTTTTTTAAATGTAAACAGCATGTTACTGGCTGAGCACTTCAACTTGGGCTTTTTTCAATTGGGTTTAGGGGCCTTAGAGCACAAACACCCCAAGCGGAAATGATATTTCTGAACATTGGCAGGAGCAGTGTTCTTCTGTACTTTGTATGTTGTTTCCAGTGTGTGATCTAAGTAATGCTTGGGGAAATATATTTGGTGGAATAAACTAACTTCAGTTGATTTAGGAAAGTGACTGCCTGCTCTTTTGAGAAATATGGAGCAAAAGAAGAGAATTCAAAAGAGTGGTTTGGAATTCCAATATTCCACTCAGCTTCCCTACTTGTAAAATAAGGAGTAAGGGTAATTAGAGGACTGATCACAATTTATGAAGCAGATATACCTGCTGTATGCGTATGGTGAATGCTGTAAAATATATCACTACAGTACTAATTTCCAAGTTGAAAGGCGTAAAGACATTCTAAATGGGGCCCAAAACTGAGATGTCAGCATCCTTCATATCACATTTGTTGTATGTGTATTTCTTAATATGAGGTTTTTATCAACCTTAAATGACAAGAAACACTATTTATGCTGATTCTTAACTTAAAATGTACTTAGTTTTTTTTTACATTAATTTTAAATTGCAAACATAATTTGTTGTTAAAAGAAGATTGGTTGATGTTAAAGAAGAAATGCGATTTAACAAAAGTCTAAAGGAGGACGTAATGCCAAGAAGTTTGAGAATCACTAATCTCTTAAGATACAGTGGGCACACAACAAAGAACTAAAGTGCAGAAACCCCTCTATGATTTTGCAGCCATACACCTTCTCTTCACACTCTATTAATGTTTATTATTAGTGTTCCCATCTCTTTGAATGCGGTGATTTGGAAACATGTAATAAAACTACAAATCACTTTTCAGGAATTTATAAATCAAACATACCGTACTATCCTGAAATACTTGCAAATCTAGTAGGATTCCTCCCCCTCCCCCCAGTTTCAATCTGAAGAGATGCCAGCCCCATGTCATGTTACAAACTGTTTTAACACACAGAACTCTCATGAATAATTTATTTATTTCCATTCATGCCAACAGCACAAAAGATGTTTCTAACATTACAGAGAATTTAGACCTATTACAGAAGTGTTTGTATTTTTCTCACTCACCGAGTATTTTCATTATATTCATAAATTTGGACCTTTGCCAGTACATTTGGACTGCTGTCATCACTTCCTACAGCTATCATAGGAGCATGAGCACGAGAGCTGCAGTTATCAGAAAAAGAAGAGAATTACAAGACCTATACCAATATGGACCAGTTCCTAACTTATTACTACCTTTCAGACATTCACAGATAATGAATCCAGCTAGAACTAATTATTTTCGAGGAAACAGAGTACTATTTTTCTGGCCTTTGTTTGTACACCTTCAGTGGTTATCCACTCCATCCAGGAAATACTTAGCACCCCATGATACAGCTACATTTCAAATATGGATCCATCTTTCCAAAGTAGCCTTTGTTAATATCCATAATTCCATGCCATACCACAGAACTAGGAATATGTAACACCATGCAATTACCACTGTTAAGTTTTTGTGATATATTACATTCTTCATTTTAAGGGAGCTACTCGGTGCCATCACTGTTTTGACTTTGATTGCATAGACATGATTCCATTGGTCATTCTACCCAACTGCAAGGAACTTCTACCTGCCAGCACCCTTCACACTTTCACTTTGAATGTTCAACTATATTTCTTGGGCTGCTTGGTTTTTAGTGATTACCATAAAGTTGATGCTCTCAACATTCATTTTCAGAATATGTACTTAGTTCACTGACATCACTGAGTAAATTTTTGCAAACTATATAGATCCAAAATATTTAGGTTCAAAATACTAATTGCATAAGACACACATCAGTTGCCAATAGGGCTAAATCAAGATTGACATAGTTGTAGACACATAGCATCTGATGGAAATGGACTACCATTCCCAAAGGAGTCCATACAAACTCTTGAAATTGTCACATAGAGGGTCAGGGCACTCTACTAAATGGAATGAACTCTGGAAAGCAATCCTGAAAATAAGACAGAAGGTCCTTTTCCTGGTAGAAGTCTTCTGCTCCTGGAGGATGGAGTTTGGGTCCAACCCTTTGGTTTTCACTTACTAGCTTGGTAAGGAAAAAAATAATTTACCTTGAAGGATTCCAAGAAATACAACTGCAGCTTAGTTTACAAGAGATTTCATGCTGAAGTGACCACTGACTGAGATTCATGACATCAGGAGCTTCATATATCCTAACAACTCCATCTGCTGAACATGTTGCTAGCATGAGACCCATATGCTTTGGAGCAAACTTCACATCAGTGACTGATGTCCTGCTGTCAACAAGAGTAGTTCTCTTTACCTAAAGATAAATGCAGCAGTCATTTACACAAGGCAAAATAGATTTATAAAAAGATTATTTATGCCTGAATGTTGTTATTACATAAAACAGTGTATTGGTGAACAATTACATTAACTATAAATGTACATATCTTGTATTTATGGGTGTTCTGTGCCATCAAATTGGAACCGACATATAAACCCTAGTAAGTTTTTCAAGGTGAGATATTTAAGGAAAACCCTAATAAGTTTTTCAAGGTGAGATATTTAAGGATTGGGTTTACCAGTTACATTCCCCAGTCAATTTCCATGGCGGAGTGGGATTCAAACCCTGTTCTCCAAAGTCCTAGTCCATCACTCTATCCACTATGCCACACTGGGAATATCTTAGGTCCAGAAAAATATTGTCAACAAAAAAGGCATAAAAATTATTCGTATCTACTCATGTCAGAAATCTTACATGCTATATTGAAATTAAGAAGTATAGTGGTGCCTCGTTTAATGACGATAATCCGTTCCAGGAAAATCGCCGTTAAGTGAAAACATAAAGCAAAAATAAAACCCCCACTGAAATGCATTGAAACCCGTTCAATGCATTCCAATGGGATAAAAACTCACCATCCAGCGAAGATCCTCCATACAGCGACCATTTTCGCTGCCTGTATAGCGAGGAATCCGTCTGTATAGCGAGGAATCCGTCCTTAGAAAACAACCGGGGGGGGGGCATTTTGAAAGCCGGCGGCCATTTTAAAGCTGCCAATCAGCTGTTAAAAAAACATCATTTTGCAAAGAATCGGTTCCCGAAACAGGGAACCGATCACTGCAAAGTGAAATTCCCCCATTGAGACCATTGTTTTGCGATCGCAAAAAGATCATCGTAAAGCAGATTCATCGTAATGCGGGGCAATCATTAAGCGAGGCACCACTGTATGCATGTTTGATATTTCACACTAATAAATTGTAACATATTCTAACTCAAACCTTAAACACACGAAAAATACACCATTATAGACTCCTCAGCAAGCAGAATGCACAAGCAACCAATAATACCATCAATAGTGCGAGAAACATTCTATGTATAGTGGTGCCTCGACTTACAAACTTAATCCATTCCAGAAGATGGAATGTAACTTGAATCTGTCATAAGCCGAAGCATCATTTCCCATAGGAATGCACTGAAACCCCGCTAATCTGTTCTGGCCAGAAAAAAACACAACACTGCAAGCCCCATGAAAACGTGCTAGGGCTGAACAAAACACACACACACACACAAAACAACAACAATACTGCAAGCCCCATATGAACGTGCTGGGGCCGAAAAAACACACACACCAAAAAACATCACAGCACAGAAACATAACCTCCTCAAGCCCAAACCAACAATGCAAAAAAATCCTGTATGTACCTACTCAGAAGCCGAAGCCAGGCTGTCCAAAACCTCCCTGCAAATGCACACATTCTCACTCAGAAGCAGAAACCAGGCAGCCCAAAACCTCCGTGAAAACGCACACATTCTCACTCAGAAGCAGAAACCAGGCAGTCCAAAGCCTCCCTGAAAACGCACACTCTCTAACCATGGGGCAAAAGAGCTACAAAGAAGCAGCCTCTTTGCCACCAACAGTTAGCACTTTGAATTCTCCGCCTTTTTTTTGGTCGGAACTCGAAGCTGCAGTCGCAAGTTGCAGCTAAATTTTGCAGCCAGAGCTGGTCGTAAGTAGGGACGTTCATAAGTCGAGACACCACTGTATTAGGGCACACTAATACATAGAATTAGAGCATACTATCTCTTTTCAAATGAGTCTTACCCAATGACTCTGTCCTCGAAGTTTATCATTTGATTCTCCTACAATTTCTTCCCATACAGCAGCTGTTCTATCAAAAGAACAGGAAGCCAGAACTTGTCCAAATTCTGGATGTGCCCATGTCACACGCCAAACAGACCCACTATGTGTCTGGAAATTTGAGAAAAAAATTCAATTTACAGACTGAACTCAACAGTAGACCTTTTAATTGATGCACTTTCTCACTTTATGTAAATAAACGGGGAAAAGGTGATACCAACACAAATAAATAAGCCAATTTTAAAGCCATTTGACAAATTCATTGCTAGCTCAAGATAAAAAAAATATATTGCTATGCACTAATGACCTAGTTAATTAAAAAATAATCTCATGCATGAAGAATATTCCAAAACATCCTACTTAACACTAGTTACAGTACCTTGCTCCAGACCTCTTACACTTATTTAATGTCATCAAAACTCTGAACAGAAAAGGGAACATAAGCTGCAAAAAGGTGCAAACTAATACTACATCTGCCACTCAATAGCTTCATAGTGACTCTGTTAAATAGTTCAGCTAAACAGTAGCAAAGACTCAAAGGGCACTAGAGAGAAAACTAAGACAAGACAAGAAAAGCAAGCTACACATTTCAAAGAGAAACTAGTGAAAGAATACAGGGCAGGAAGAAAGTAAAAAAGGAAGAAAATAAATCATGACTATACTTGCTGACAATTTGGAAAAACCACAGAATTGGAAGAGATCTTGAAATCACCAGTCCAGCGATGGCAAACCTATGCCACATGTGCCACAGCAGGCACACAGAGCCCTCTTTGTGGGAATGCAAACTGTACGTTGCTGGATTACTACCCCTGGCAGCCAAACCTGAGGAGGAGGCTGCAGCTGCGGTGCTAGCATCCCGACAGGTGGTGAGCTAGGATCTGGAGCAGCTGGCAGTGGCAGGCAAGCCAAGCTATAGGCAGTGGCAGGGATTGGGCACGACTGGAAGCGGATCCAGAGAGGGGTCTGGAGGCCCCTCTGTGCCCGATTTCCCCCCTTCCGCTGCCACTTCTACTGCCACCAATTCCGCCACTGTAGCTACCTGCTGGGTCCCGTCCCCCCAGTTTGGGCACTCTTGTCTCAAAAAGGTTCATCATCACTGACTTAGTCCAACCTCCTACTCAATGCAGAAACCATCCCTAACCTAAGATCCAGTCTTCCTGAGGAAGTCTGTTCCACTGTCATTCAATCCACTATTAGCAGAAATAAAGGTAAATGTCTGAAAAAAAGATATTCCCCACACCCTTCTCTTTGGATTCTGCCCACAGATCACACTGCATTATTCTTTTCTGATGGTGTATGAAAGATACCCCGCCAAGCTGAGCATCTGCAATCAGAGCTGCATATTGCCCATGAAGGATTGCACTAAAGTGAAGACCACATCTTCTTCCAGATTACTGGGTAATACTCTTAATTTGGCTATAGTTCATTGCGTCTTTGATTACTGTGTAAACTAAACTTAATCTCCAACTTTCCTGATAGGCCACTTAATATGTTTCCAGGTATCTATTCTTAGTCAAACAGAAGCTATTGCTCCAATCCTGGGGAATAGCAGAAATGCTAAGTGTTTAGCAACCCTTTGCCTATAAAGATTTGAGAAAGACAAGGAAATCTAAACTAAAATAGTTTACAATGAAATGCAGGTGCTGAGTCTTCTTGGTATACAATTATACATTTAATATACCTGTAGACCAGGGATAATTCTTGTTATAAAACTACTCTAAATGTTTAATGTAATCCTAAACAGTGTCACAAAGAAGTAAATCTCACTAAACACAAGAGATCAATATCCAATTGGGGAAACACTGAGTGCATAAAGGCAATTGAGCAAGGAGTTCTCTCTTTCAGCTTATTGTCCTCCACACTGTTTAACCAAGCACACCCTGGTTTCTTCTAGCATGAGGTAACAAGGTAGGATGATTTGTGCAATTACTCTTAATTGATTGCACAGTGCAAAAGGATTCTGACCAGAGAAATTTGGCTTTAAAGAAACATGAACAGATTACACTTCTACACATATTTCCACCCAATACCATATTTTGCCAAACTGAAACTCTTACCTTCCAGCTGGCAGTACAGTGCCATTCTCCATTTTCTCCTTTGTCCCAAACCTATTTTAAAAACAATCATTTGTAAACACTTTATTTAAGATTAGAAAGAATTTTTAATGTTATCTGCTATCAAGTCGGAATTGACTTAGAGCAACTCTAACAAGGTTTTTAAAGTACAAGTGGTGCCCCGTATAGCGAGGTTAATCCGTTCCGGATTAACCTTCGCTATACGAAAACATCGCTGTGCGGGTAAGGAAAGCCTATTGGAACGCATTAAACTTAGTTTAATGCGTTCCAATAAGCGTCCAAA